ATATCCTCAAAATATTGTAATAATTACATAAACGATACAAAATCTAGTCTATCATTATTGCAATTTGAATGATATTATTATCTGTTCAATAAAGTTAAAAGATATCTAATTTCTACGTTATGAATAAATATACTTGTTATTGCCAGATGCATAATTTTAACATTCGTTATTTATTGGAATATTCACATTTTATTTATTTTTATAAATACCAATATTAAATATTCAAATTTATAATTGCATTAATATCGTGCTTATAAAGTTTCAATCATAAAAAAAATGCGATGAAAAGAAAATCTTATTCTGAACTGATAAATAAAAAACACATGGAAAGGAAATATTACTACTCACAAGTATCATAAATATTTGTCGTCATTATGCTCACAAAAAATTCTAAGTAGTACAACTATTCCTCATATCGATACGAACCTTTCATTGGCATGCTTGAGTGATCACAGTAACAAAAATATAGATGCAAAAACCGTCGACATCAATATTACCAGAAGAAACCATGATCAAAGCATTGAATCCCATGATGAAAGTGGAAGTTGTAAAAAATCTTCAATAAATATTCAAAATTGTCAAACTTAATAAATACTTATATATATACATATATATATATAAAATGAGATGAAATTCATTATTATTAAAAATTTTATATATATAAAATTAATAAAAATAAAATTATATATATATCGATGCTTCAAACAATCAAATATACAATTGACAAAGATTTCAAAAAACGATTTAATTCTACTGCACAGATGTATAATAAACAATTAAATAAATCCAAAGTATTTATGTGAAGCTGAAAAGACGATATACATAGTTACTTACCAAATTACAATAGATGTTATGGAATCAATCAGTTAACGACGCGTATCAAGCAAAATTAAAAGTCAGATTTTTTAACAATATGAAATATCTCGCGCTAAAAATATTTGCTGATAAGAAATAACTTGCCAAAGTTATTCGAAATGCGAATTTCCTGTAAACAAAAAAGTGCAAAATGACTTGGAGAAACTAATTTCATTATGAAGATGTATAATAAACAATTAAATAAATGCACAGTAATTAAAAAAATTCATAGAGATATGTATATAAATACTTACAAAATGGCAAATCAAGAATTGTTTGTCAGCATCGGTAGTATGTAACAAGCATGACGTTCTATTCTTTCAAAATTATCCACATAATCAACGTGCAATAATCTGCAAAACATGAAACCAATAAATTAAAAGTAATTAAAATTAATTATTTAATTAAATTTAATTAAAATAAAATAATAACCAATTCTAAATTCTATTTCAAACATTCATAATATGTATAACCTATCCAATATAACGAAAAAAAAAGAAAATAAAAGTACTTTGAAAAATTATTTAATGTTATTGTAAAAAGATATTATGAATGAGTGATATTGAAATGAAGCCGATGAAAGTATATAAAAGCTTACGTATATAAAATAGTAACAACAGGCAATTAGTAATTTAACAAAGTTACACTGTCGTATCACCATTTTTAACATTAAACTAATACCTGTGTCAAAAGTACGTTACAAAACATTGATGATATAGTTTGCGCGCGCAGATTTCGACCAATAAGAAACGAGCAAAATAACTGCGAGAAACTATTTAATTTTATTACGAAAATATAATTCAACGATTCCATTTTAATGAAATAGAAGACAAAGTTCTAGTATATTTTTATAACTTTTTTAATATAACGTCTTTTTAAAAAAAAAAAAAGGCTATATAAACAAGAACTTTCCAGACTCCTCCCCCCTCCCGCCCTTTTCTCCTCTATTAGCTTCTTATTTTAATAATAAAATGAACTTCTTATTAAAGAAATAATAGCGAAATAGCCAAAATTGGAAGAAGCCGTTAAACTAGAAATTTATCAAAGTTAATAGAAATATATTATAAATACTTACGAAGAAACATGTCACAAATTAACTGTCAACTTCCGTGGTATCATCCTATAAACTTTTCTTCCTTCGATATCAAAAACTTGTTTAACCAATAATCTGGTTAATAATTTAAAATATCGATGACATTCGAACATAAATTGTGTCTTAACAGTTGGTATCACAAGCTGTTGACAACCAAGCAACAAGTACGATCAACGAAAAAGCGGCAAAATAACCTCGAAAGTCTATTAAATTTTGTTTATTAAACTATGATTAATAAATGATTAAATATACTAATGATGAATTAAATATACTAATGAAGTTAAATTAATAGTAGTTAATAAATACTTACGAGAAAATAATTAGAAATATTACGCAGTAACAGGCACAACAATGCAATTCAAACGAGATTAGGCATCCAAAACAATAAGATTTCCAGTACAGTAATGACACCCCGCGCGCTACAGATGCGCTTAGTAAAATGGTAGGGAGATGGCACAATTGGCACGTGCCATTTGCGCGCTCTGATTTAATTTGGGCAAATAAAATAAAATATTTCAACTGTATATTATATGAACATATAAATCTAAACTTACAGTTAATTTTACGCGTTTAAAGATGTATTAAGACTAAAAATTAGGTATCATCCCCTGTTATTCAAAAATAAAACGTAAAAATTAAATTTAGAACTAAAATTTAAAATTATAAATATACACGTCCACAACGTCCTACGTTATTCAAAAATGAGACTAAAAATTTAGAAATAAAATATATAAAATAAAGAATAAATTAAAATCTAAATTCAATTTACATTTTCTAAAAAATACTGACTTTGTAAAAATTTAAAAATAAATTGCAGATATTAATTTGAGGTTCAGCTTTTGTAAACTTTTGCACATGCGTAGAATTCGCGTAGCTCATAGCAATCGAAAACGTGAATGTAATTTAATTTACAAATAATTGTTATTTATTCAAAATGAACGATATAAAATCATTAGATAATACTAAAGTTGTAAATGGACATCGATGAAGTCCATTAGTTGAAAACTGAAAGATATATATATCACCATAGGTATATACAAACATAATATTTTTATAAAAATTTTATTCAATAAAAATTTTATTTAACGATAAAAATATTTAATAATCCCCTTCTAGGAAAAGAAAATTATTCTTTTTTCCAATTTATGCAATATATGTATTTTCGTACAAAATGCAAGCGCAATAATTTTAACATTAACAGAGATTGCAGCGCCAGTGAAGCGGTGAAATTTCGCAACTACCTACATAATTCGAGTAACGCTTCCTGTAATCAATCTAATCGATGTTGGATGTAACGGAAAATCGTTAGTTTTAGACAGGAACGTGACAAGAAACGTAGCAAGAAGTTGCTCATCCAAAAATTGTTAAGTAAAGACTACCGGTGAGATTTATTTTTGTATCGTCGAATAAACTTATAACTTAAAATAGTGAAAATTAGAATTTAAAAGAGTTATTATATATATATATGTATTCAACCATGACCGTGATTTGTTACAGGCATTTCCCATCAGATGTAATGGTTTCTATTCAATGATATGTCCTCTGGGCCGCGATTGGATCGTTCCTCGTATCTAATTGTAAGTCGCATGTATTTTCATATTTCTGATTATTAATATTTGAAAAACAATACCAATTGTCAATACGTGCCACAATGAGGTGACTATAGTTGGATCTCGGTTACAGTATATCGTAAATTAATGCTGTTTCACTAGTCACGATTTACACCAATTTAAGCAATTTATTAAAAAGAGAAAACGGTATCTGAAAAATAAGGTATAAAATTTCGTGCAATCAAAAAAATCACTTTAAAACGTTGAAATAAATATTTTTGTTTAATAAATTTATAAATAGAAAACGAAATTATTTTCTCGTAAAAATGCCAATTATGTAGCAAATAATGATATTATAGTCAGAAATTAAGTTGATCGTCTCTTAAGAATAGTCATGCAAATAAGAAAGCGTTTACGTTCAATTCAATAAATAATTTTCGATATAGCTGTAACAACATTATTCATATTTTTTTATTTTAATTCCTATTAATTCCTATATGAATACCTCGTCTGTGCTAATAGCGCTGCAGTGCAAAACTTATCTAAATCGATATGGTAGGATGTATTACGAAAGTCTGAATTACCGACCAAGAAAAAATCACTGATTTTTTTTAGCGCACTCACAGACGAAATATATGAACGAGGTATATACCTCGTCTGTGACATGAGACAAAAAAAGAAGCATTGAATATCCGATTTATTCTAGTTAGTCAATGATAGAACATTATTCATATTTTCTGATTTTAATTCCTGTTACTAGTAGCGCTGCGGTGCAAAACCTATTTAGATCGACATGGTAGACTGTGACACGAAAATGGTAAAGGGGTAAAACATAAGACACAAAGTCACAGACGAGGTATGCATATGATTCATACCCTAGTCTACCCTAGTCTATCAATGGTAATGCAGTTAATAATATATTTCTCATATAAAAATAACACATCATGACAAAGCTTGCTATAGTAGATAACTATATTTTATCCAGTAATTTTAATCGCCAAGTATTCAATTCGTACTATTTCCAATTCTATAAGTAGTTCTAATTCTATAACGAATTTTCACGTTGTTATTCTTTATTCGACGCATTGAATAAAGTAACGGGGTTATTTAGTTTATTTCATTCAAACGTTAACATACTCTATCCTGTAATTCCAATTATCCAATGTTCCCGATAAAACCAAAAAGGTTCGAACCTATTGGCCGTAGAACCGTTTAACTTCATCCCATCGACAAATCCCATAAGAAAGCTAGCACGTGAGATTCTTTCGGCAGTTGGAGCACTTTCGTACAAAAGTAACGGCTATCCAATAAGAATCGAACGCATTAGTTAATCCCGTTTCCGCTTTCCTTCCTAATTGCTTAAATTGCCGGAAAAGTTCAAGCGAAGCTGCGGCCACGCAAGCGCAGCATGGTGCGCACGCTGCGCCACTACCACTCTGTTAGGTAAGGTTAGATTAGATTCCACATCGTTTTCCAACCCTCTCTTCATGTTCAGTACACCCCAAGCTATCACTGCGGTCGGTAGGTTTCACCCATACACTCTCCATCGGCGAATGCACGCGCATACATGCACACGAGCGCACGTTCGTGTATTTGTTTATACGCTTGTTCATACTACTTGTATGATCGCGCATTCGTCTAATTGCACATTAATCTACGCGTCGATGCGATCATTCACGTTGTCAATTAAACCAGCGGTCGAGACCTAGATGAAAACATGAGATCGTCATTTTCGAACGTAGTTTGAACGATTTGAATTTCACTTAGACTCGTCAAAGCCCTCAAGTTTCTCAGGCGTACGATTGTTCTTTTTTCTCATTTTGATAAATCGAGAATCGTGTTGCTATACCGATGCGAAGATGTATAAGAAACTTTGATTGGACTAAACAGACTCGTACCGTGTTGTCGCGACGGTGGTTGTGAAAGTGACCGTGAAGATTCCGTTACTACGAGACAGTTCTCAACGGAACCAGTCACACAGGGTGAGTAAAATAATTTGCAGTTCGGATGATTAATGTTTACTGTAGAACTGTTTGAAATTTTTTCGCGTGGAAGCAGTTCTAAACTTGCACACTAATCAATTTAAAGGTCTATCATTCAAATACTTTGGGAATTTCGCGCGGCGTACTTCCGGTAATAAGTTTTTATTTCAATCAAAACTATACATCGATTTTGATGTCCTTTAATGGAACGTTCGCGTACAATGCACTGTGCGCTCGTGCCTACACGTGAAACTACCGTCACGATCTTATCACGTCTATCGTGCTTCAATCACGCATCAACTAACTCGACAACAACATTACGGACACGACAGAGAAATCTCCGGCAAAATACAAAACGAAAAATCACCGATTTAAATCTAACGTGCACCGACGCATTTGTACGACAAAAATTGTCGTGGAAAATGAACTGGCAGCTTCCATTCACAATGCAGTCGGTACCTATTAGCAGACCGCGGAACCGAAAGATGCGTAAATGAGGCCACGAGCGTCAAAAACACGGTAGAGGCCAAAAAAAAAAAAGCAGAGTAAAAGGTAGAGCAGACAGAGGGTGATGGAAAGTAAATAGAGACGTCATAGTCCAGAATGAATTGATATAGAAGAATTCCTCGGTCCTGACTACGAGTGTAGCACGCGTGGGATGAATACGTAGAGACAGCTGCATATCCGTAATCACGCAGGTGTAAGTGACGTCTACGAATAACTGGGGGTGGCGCGCAGGCGCCTCCACCTGTAGATACGCTGCTATACGCGAGGCTAAATGGTAGATATATCCGTGGAACGGTGGAACAGACCGCTCGTCGGAGTATGCGGATCAATAGAATTATCTTTTTTTTTTCCCCTCTTTTCGCAGAAGAACGAATCCTTTTGCCAAGCACTTTTTACCATTTGGTCCCAACGTCCGCGATCACGAAATCGTACGGCGCACCGTCGCGTGTTTCCAGCTTGCGGGGAACCAACTAACGACGAGGAGATCGATAAAATTACGTTTCTCATTGAAAGAGTTCGCTTTCGTATTGCTCTTACTTCTTTCTTTTACGAGGGAAGCTCGTCGTAAGGAAACTCGATCCCTCGATCGCAGACATCGTTGAATTGTTCTCCTTTGTACAACTTATCCTTTTGCTTTCCGTTACTTCAACGATCTACGCCGTAAGAGAAGTATTCTCAAGATAGAGAGATGCTTTTTCATTTATAATGGGGGGGGGGGGGGGGGGAAAAAAAAGAAAGAGTTACGCGATCTCTTGAAGTCTCAAAGCAGACGATGAGAGAGTGAAATGGCACTCGTGTATGCTATCATTGGATTAAACAAACGATCTTTAGAAAAAAGTGACCTTCGAAACTCAATGATTTAAAAGGCAATTGAAAACCCTTTCGATAGAGGGATACCCGTTTTAGACAAAATTGTCCGACATAACATTTCGTTTACCGAAATGGAAATTGCTTTAGCGTAAAGCATACGGGACCATCATCGTTTCGTTCCTGTTACGAGGATAGAGGCTCGTTTGATCAAAACTGCTGACGCTTTTTATTTGTGCAACAACATAAAATCTGCAGGCAGATACATACGTATCGAGTGAAGTTCCGCTGGCTGGAATGGAAACGATCGATCTGCTGCAAAATTGACGATAGTTACCGCGAAATACGTTCTCGTATAAATAGAAGCATAGCCGAGCGTTTCACTTTTAAGGTACACAACGGAGGAAAAATCCGAGCGATCTCGTTAAACAATGTCATACGGTCCGGCTCCGGGGACGGTTATAACTACAATTCCGACCGTTTCACCCTCGTGTTTCCCTCCTATTATCTCGTACTCATTGCCGTCGCGGTGGTTTTCATTATTCTTATTATTGTTTCCTATGCACGACGTCGTCCCTCCTCCCATTAATATCACGGCCAGCGTCATTAACATTAGCATTTTTATGATTATTAACGTTCGTAAGCATTATTATTTTCGCCGGTGGTTCCTAGCGACGGGAAAACACAGGCGGAACACATCGCCCCGTGCCCCGTTATGAATTACATTACCTTTTCAAAACAGCTATGCATTATATAACGTGTATGTCAGAAGGGGAGGAGAGACCGCATACAAAACAGTAATGCCACCCCCGCGACAGTCCAGCTGTGCCAGTCCTGGCGAAATGCGCAACACACGAAATAGAAGAAAATAGGGGAAAACCTGACGAAATAGAACGTCTGTCGGTCGCACAATGGTCGTCGCCGGGTCGAAAGTTCAGAACTTTTGTCATGTAGCTACATATGTAGCTGAACTAGGAGTCGTATTGATCTCGAGCGAGAGCCGGGCGAACAAAGTTCTTGGAGATTTAACGAGAGGCTCTTGGCGATGAGCTGCTTTCCAAACAATACTTCGCCATGCACTGCTGGGAAGTCCGAACGAGCACGCTTATGCTCGGAAAGCAACTCCGTGCATCGCACACCACCGCGTTCACACATCGTTCACGTCATTCGCCAACTCGCTAGCCTACTCTTCTCTCTCTCTCTGTCTCTCTCTCTCTCCCTTTTTCTCTTCCCTTTTTTTTCCAGCCAGGTCTTTGACTCGCCACTACTCTCCACGCCATTATCACCGGCTTTTTGGTCGCCTTCGGAGCTCGATCCGTATAATGCCTACGCTTTTACCTCTCTTTACGACCTACGAAACGAGCCGGAAATGTCGCAGCCACGGTTTGTCCCCTTCTACTCTGACTACGCTTTACTGCGCGGTGCAATGTCTCCTTTGATCGTGGTCCCTCTCACTGGGTCTCGCGTTTTTTCGTCCGCTTTTGCTAGATTAAACTGTCGAACTGTTGCTTCGAAAGTCGGCCGCTTACCCCATGACGATTCGGTTCCTTTCTTTGATTCCACCAGCAATCTTCTGTTTCCACAGAATGCAGCTTCGAAACAGAAGCGGGCCCGCGTGTTTCACGGAGAGAACAGTTGTTCTTTGACCTCCGTTCCGCGACGAAACTGTATCGCATGTCGAATCAGCAAGTATAATGAAAGCTGGGCAACTGATGGTAAACGTTATCGATATGGATGTAGCTACAGTTCTAGTAAATTTCAGCAGAAAATCGAGCGATCTCGAGTGATAGATACACGGGTATATTGTATTCGTACTTTATGCATTTCTCTTTTTTTTTTTTTTTTTTTCGAAATGCATAACTTGGACACGCGCTAAAGCCTAATAACCAGTTTGATATATATCGCCGCTGAGTTGTTAAGCTGCGCAAGACTGTGACCGTATTTATAGTTATTGTAAGCCCGTACCGCGCCCTAGAATCATAATTCTCTTCTAATTAAATCGTTAACTCCACCCCGGCACGCTTCTTCTAGCAATTTGAATTTTCTTGGCAGCCGATGATTCGATAACGGTTAGAAGTATAGAAAAGAACGGGCTAGAGAATGCGTTTGTTCGCTGTAACGCTCGCGTTCGAGAGAGAAAAAGAAAGAAAAGAAATCCGATTTTTCATGTCGTAACGGATCAACGAGAACGCACCTTCTTTTTTGTAAGATTCAGGCGATTCAAACTTAGTCCAGCGCCTGAAGGCGACGGTGAAAGACACATCAGAGCCCCGCACAGACAGAATGTGTCTTATCGATCCGTTCTATTGCGATGGTCATAACAAATTCATGGAGTAAAATACTCGACGACGTCGAGGGAAAAGACAAAAGTACTCAGACGACGCGTGGCGCGAGGACGTAGACACTGATTTCGACTGTTATCGTTAATCGATAGGCGTATTAAAATTACCGGGGAAAATGTAGAAGACCAGGGATTTCTCGTTAAATTCGTTCCTGATTGAGACGGGATTCAACCGTGATTAAAAGCGACCAGTATCGGTAAATGTCACGTCTGAATCGGATCGTAAAAAAGCGTTAACTCTGCGTGGGTACCCTCGCCTGAACATAAATATCCTTACCTCCATGCGAGAGCAATGATTCATTTACGTGTCCGAATTGTTTTTCCCACTTTGATGTAGACGACGAATTTTACCCAACAAATTATTTCGCGACTCTTTAGAAATTCTTTTCTACGTCTCTGAATTATCACGCCCATCGATTACCATTTTCCATTTTTATCGCATTCTTCTTCCGAAACGATCATACACCGCAGCTAATAAAAAAAAAAGAGAAAAAAAATAGTCTCTACGCTGTTATTATCGGCCACGTATCATCCGAGAATATCTGTCGAAGATAAAAATATACTGGCAGGCCAGTAGCCAGTATAGCGGCGACAGCCGTACATACGATGAAACAATGTCCTTTCCAGCTATAAATATGAAAAACTCGCTATAACCGCGCCGCCTTCGTATCATACTTATGGAAACCCGTGGCGTATTTTCACTCGACTTTACGACGGCCTGTACAGTTTCGCGCAACATATTTTTCTTTTCCTTTCTTTTTTTCTCTCTCTCTCTCTCTCTCTCTCTCTCTCTCCTCTCCTCCCTTTCTGCCTAAAAATAAACAGGGGGTAGTAACAGCGATAGTAATCTAGAACATGCATAGGCAAACAATATTGCGAAACGAACACAGAGAGAGAGAGAGAGAGCAGAAATCGCCGCCGGTATTTATAAAGCGTGTAATCTATGCGCGATATCTATCGCGTGGCTAATACAAATCGGCGAAATATTAAACGATCGCAAACATGACCGGTCACGTGTTTTCTCAGTACGGCGAGCAGCCAGCATGTAATTACTACATCGTTAAAGCTTCGGTTACCGTTGTTGCGTCGATAATTAATTTTCGCCGTTACGTTAAATAATTCGCGCGTTATGCGAGTGCCACGCGTCGGAACTCGACGAGTGAAAGTGGCTGCTGCGCATACGCGAGATATACGCGACCATCGTTACCAAACTTACAACCGGGCTGATAACGCGAGCGAGCGATAAGAATTTACGCGAAATCGATCATCGAATCGTCCCGTTCTCGCATCGATCGATCGTTAATCGATTTGCTCGATGAGAAACATTTTGCCTGTGTCGTCGTTA